TTCAGAAAACATCAATTTAGTAAACAAATATTTAAATCTAATTAGTAATATTGAATAATTTGCTTGATACTGTGTAGTCTTTGCTGCTGCTTTTTTTTAAAGCTTTTTACGCCAATGAATCTTGTCAATAACTGCTTGAAAAATAAGAGATAAATTTACTGAACAAATTCTCATCAAAATAGAAATTTTTCTCTTCTGCTGACAGGTAGTACCTATATTATGAGTGTAGGATTTATGTTTTAATTATAACTTTTCGTATCTCGACCATAGACAATTAATTAAATTGTTTATAGAATAGAAAAATAAATACAGTGACAGAATTCCCGTATAAATGCTTTACTGCTGGCAGGCAGTACGTATGATAGGCGAGTAGTGATGAAAATTCAATTTTTGTAAAACGGGGTGAAAACAATAACTTCCCGATTTTTGAAAATCTGAGATTTTTAGCGGGAAGTTAAAAAGAATTTTTGAAGTTTTTTCAGAATCTATCATGCCGATTCGGTCTAAATTCCAGAAAATCGTATACACAATCATGACAAATACCAGCCAGGATAGGACATATGGACTGGTGCAACAGCTTCATATCAAATCATACTTTTTCATTCGTCTTCATACGTACCTTTATTGTTTTCATTCACTCACTTGCAGTTCGTGCAACTATGAAAATGCCATCATCGAGTGGATTGAGGGTAATCAATCAGCTAAAATAAGCATTATATACCTGCTGAAGCGCAAAAATAGAATGCTGCTGGACGCAGCTCGATGTATGTTGATAGAAGTTGGGCTACTACAATCATAGTGAGCAGAAGCTGTCGCCACAGCGAATTATGTGAGAAATCGCAATCGTGTTGAATTTTTCTAATATTCGAAAGTTTAACAGAATGGAGGGTTTGTTTGCGATGTGCCGTATCTAAGGCCATCAGCATGATTAATTTACGCGTTAATTCAGATAAACTAAGAGTGTTGAGAGGACTCATTTGCTCGTTTATTGAGAATCGAATCAAGAATATAAATTTTATTATATAATAAAGAATTTCAACCAAAATGAGCATCACATTAGAAAAAGAGCAGAGCGACAGTTAAGAGAGCTATAAGGGGGCGTCCATAAATTACGTGAGGTATTTTTGAGAATTTTTCGACCCCCCCTCCCCCCTTGATGAGTTTTCGTAAGATTTTCCTCAACTCCCTCCCCCTCCCCTAATCTCACGCGAGATTCTTCAAAATTGATGTTTTGGCTGTAAATGTGTTGGATTATTGAGAAAAAAAAGCGCCATACGGTTACACCCGATATGGATAGGTAGATTTCTTGTTTAAATATTGAAAAAAAATACGTTATTAAAAGGCAGTATACTGTCGTAAAATTTATTTTTTATTATATTTTTGCAAATAACGATATGAGACCGACTACAATAAATAAATATTCAAAAAGACATCTACCTAAAAAATAGGATTTGTTACAGATAAAAGTCATCTGATGATAAAAGCTAAAAATTAATTTATTCTTGATTTTTTTTTAATTTTCCCAACTACGAAATAAATTGAAAAAAGTATCAAAAGTCGAGAACAATAGTTTAAATTTAAGATAATCACGTGAACTTTGAAAAAAATTTACATATTGTTATAGTTCCAGTAATCTGGCAATGTTGCTCTTGAAAATCGTGAAAGATTTGAATTTCCCGCTTTTTATTCTACACTATTTCAGGGAGCGTTGCCAAATCACTATAAGTTTGTAAGTAAGCAGGTTAGAAATGGATCAAAAATAATTTTTTTTAATTATTATATCTCGATAACAAAACGGACTATTATTTATAACAGTTTACTTTTTTCGGTGTACATTCCTAATTAAGTCGCTAAATAGAGCAAACGCTAATATTTATGCACCAGTTAATCGAAATCTCAACATACTGCTTACTCATAATATGGCGACTTACACAAGTTATTACCCAATTTTTATTGTCTCATATATCTATTAGTGGATTTGAAGTTTTATGCAATCCCATTTTCCAAGTAGCTGGAGGAATTTGAAAGACAAATAAAGCTGTATATTGAGGTTTATATATCAAATATCCCCGAAAAAGACAAAAAATTGATGGATCGTCTGATTTTGACGGATTCTAAGATCAAGAATTATATTGATGATCGCGAAACAGATTTCAACGAAGGAACTTCGAATGAAAAACAATTCACTTTGGAAATAAATGCTTAACATTATACATGAAATTGCGAGGAGAGGGTTTTATAAATCAATAAATCGTTGAAATTTATGGTAAATGATGAATAACTTATTAAAACTGCTATCGAATTCGATAATACGAAATATTTTAATTGTTGAGCTCTCGGGGAGAATCAAAAAAGTTGAAAGAATAATTATTCTTACTTAAGTAAGCCTTGGAAAAAATTTCACAACTGAAAGAAGCTATTCCTATTCCTCTGTCGTATGAAATTATATTATATATCACTGAGTGTCATAACAAGAATGAATTTAGGATATTTATTGATCCTTTTTATGATTTTCTATCCATTTTCATGGTTGTAATATGACTATTTATCGCGCAATAGTTGTTAATATTTTTTTTCTGTCAGATGCAATGAATAATAAATAACAAAATAAATAAATTTTGCAAATTATAATTTGTTATGTTTTATTCTAGACCTATTTATTTTATTCCTATTATAGTTAAATTATTTATGCTAAAAGTTAACATTACAAGTTTTCATCAAAAATTTCTATATTATTTGCAATTTTAACATAATTTTTTATTGAAAGTCTAGTGTTAAAGAAAATTAGCAAAATTAAATTTATTTAAAATTATGTTGCAGTATTAAAAATACACTATGCAAAGCACCACTAGTAAGTATTACTCAAAAAATAGTTTTATGAAAACGACTTTATCGATAGATGTTTTGATATTTTTGAACGATGCGTCAGTAGCCCTCTTGCGGTAACAAGTGGAATGATAGTAATGTGTGTGTATTTATGTATAATATAAGTAACTTATGTATTTTGTCGTGACTCGTGATATCAAATAAAGGAAAAAAAGAGCCTAACATTATTTATGGGTGTACACAAAATAACTTGATCAATTCATCAGTTTATTTTGAGGATTAGAGCAAGCATTCTAAAATTTTTATCTAACAAAAAATCAACTTTTGAAATTAATTCGTGTAGTAATTGGTTGGCTTGTCATCAAAAATTATTTCAGGTTAGTTTTTTTTATTTTGCTTATAATCACTTATCAAATTAAATAAATAATCACTTCAACAATAATTACTGACTAGCTATTTTGTAGCTATAAATACATTTCAAAAGAGTCATTCACTCTCATGTGATAGAGCAAATTAGATTTCAAAATTTAAAATTGTAAAATGAATAATTAAATTAATTAATGAAACGTAAAATTCTTAAAAGTTCAGTAAAGTAACATTAAATTTCAAATTAAAAATGAGTAAATTGAAGAGTGAATTTAATAGTAGAAAAAAAAATAGTTTTTTTAGTATAAAGAATTCTTAAAATTTTAAACGATCAAAATTGTAACCTAAAAAGTAAGTTTGCTCCATTTTGTACTTTCAAGTAACTTTCGAATAAATAAATATTTTGAATTTTATCAAAATTTGATAAAACTTACAGAATCAGTTCGTAAAGTGATTTCAAATGAACTCAAAATCATGAAAATTACTTCAAACTTTTTAATAGTAGCACACATGGCACATGTCATAAATATGAGTCATCCCATATCAAAATGGTTAAGAAATTAGCTCTTTTTAATTTGGATCATTTTTCATTAGAATATTTTTTTAGAAGTGTCTATTCACACGTAAAACAAATTCTGATAAATCCACGCAGCGTAAATATAAGAGCCTGTATATTCACGCAGCGTGCATTTAAGGCCCTTATATTCACGCGGCGTAGATTTATCAGGACTTTTTTACGTATGAATAGACACGTCCTATTTTTTTATCCTGAAACAAAGTCTTGCTAAGGAAAAAAAAAATTTAGGAACCTAAGTTTAACGATCACTTGGTTTTAAAAAAATCGATTCAAAATAATAACTTTTCGAAAATGTATAGTTTTTTTGAATAAAAGTTGAAAAAAAAAAACAGGTGAACAACAGATTTAAAAAAAATAGCCTATTTGGTATGAAATGTCTCATATATGTAATAACAATTTTTGTGCTTAACAGAAAAATCATTTGTTCGAGAGAAATAATCTTGTCTAAAAAAAATTATTTTAAGAACAACTGGTTTTCTTACTTCAAGAATTTTCCGTCTCAAGTTTCGTCTTTTTTGCTTGAGAGATTGGTATTTTTGTTCTCTATAACAAAACTATATGACTCGATTAAAAAGTATACTATTTTCAATCGATTGAATTTAATTATTTAATGAAGTATACACATCTCTGCAATTAAAAATAATTTCGTTTTCTTTTAAGAACTTTATATTTTTTGTTAAAATTATAATACCTCCTGCTATGAACATTCTTTCGTGGTATCAGCTATACGACTTTGGGATGAGCTACCATAGGATATCATCAATTCTTTGAGTTTAGATACATTCAAAAGAAATGCTCTTGAATTTCTTATGTCGCGAGAGATGAGAGACAAAAAATAGGCTGATTGTACTATAAGATTAGACTATACTATAAAAATTTTTACTATTGGTTAATACTACTGTATTATTGCATAAATCTACTATTTCATCATTAATATTATTATTACATCACTAAAATGTTTAACTATAATACTACATAAAATGTAAAATGAATTTAATTAATCATAAATTATATAATTATAATCACTACTTATATTACTTTAATAATCAGTTCTAATAAACTTACGTGAATATACTCTTCTCATGTATTTTATTTTTGCCATTAGGCCTATGAGGCCTTGGCATATATATGTTGAAATAAATAAAATAAATAAATAAAAATAGTATTTTAAATGTTCTAAAAATTTTCATAAAAGTAAAAATATCTTAAAAACAAATTCATCAATTTCAGAATGCACAGATCAGGGCCATTTGAAAGACCAGAACTGGAAGATATGCTCGATCATTTACAACTTAGTGGTAGTGATCGTAATGTCTACTCCTATGAAAGTCAAAACAAAGTTAATTCCTTTGTTAGCGAAGATCATGGATGTCCAAATGTTTCTGAAAATTATAACAAACTATGTAATAATTTGAATCAATCTATTCAAACTGTTGCGATGTCCGATGACGATACTGATAGTTGTGATGACGAGAAATTTGAATCTTTTGTGAATAGTAGAATAAATGTAGTATCAAAATCAATTGACAATCAGATACCTCAAGAGATTAACAAAACTCTTTCAGAAAAACCTTTTCTATCTAAAAAAATCAATAATTTTCTCCAAAATAATTCATATTCTCAGTTGTGTAGAACATCGAAAAAAAATATATTGCTACCCAATAAGTCTATTCCTTTCAAGCAGCATACAGAAATACGGAATCAAGCAATTAATTTTAAAACACCCCTGAAATTGAAAACGAAAAAGATGCCTAATAGTAGTATATTAAACCTTTTGGACAATGCTGCGTCACCAAGCACTGATAGTCCTCCCATATTAAAGCTCGAAAGTTTGAACTCAAATACTCATTCCGTGGACTATCGGCCTAAAAGAACTCATTCAATAACAGAATCTAATTTCGATCATTTTTCTTTAAGAAAAAAAGCAAAAACATGTATGTCCAAAATTTCAGCTTATGTTCCAGTGGCAAAATTTTTAAGAAGTAGACAATTAAAAACCATAAGTCTTTATGTTAGAAGTCCAGGAAATTTAGGTATTATTGTGAGAAATAAAGAGGGCGCTAGAACAAGTTTCATTGTCTCAAGTCTTGATAAAGATGGCGAAGCCGCGAAATCTAAACAGATTCACATTGGTGACGAAATTGTTAAAGTTTGTAGTCGAAGATTGCGAGGCATGACTTTACTAGAAGCACGCAATGCATTAAAAGCTTGTTCTGGCCTAATTGATATTCAGATCGCCAAAGAACCTAAATTTTTCTTTGATGAAGAACTCAGTGATGAATCGAATAACTCTTTGGTGAGAGTGAAAAGTGACTCTGATATTTGGATGCGACAAGAACAATCATTTGAACATAAAATTCCGGAACTTTATACATCTTCTTTTATTGATAGTCTTCTATCAAAACAAGAAATGAATACTTCAACAAATAGTGTTAGTTCTACTAATATGAATGTAGTAAATAATGATGTCAATTCGGATGCAAGCTATCAAAAAATTACTGGCATGAGAAAGTTTCAAGTAATGAAAAAGTATTCTTCGAGTATGGAATATTTTTCTCATCAAATTGATAGTTTTCCTTCTAATTTATTCACCATTACTTTTGAAAAAGGAACTACAAAAAAATTAGGCTTTACCATCGTTGGTGGATCAGACAGTAGCAGAGGTAATATGGGTATTTTCGTAAAGGACATTACCGAAGATGGACAAGCTGCAAAAGAAGGAACTTTGAAAGTTGGAGATGAAATTTTAGCTATTAATAATCAAGTTATACAAGGCTTAACACATGCTGAAGCATTGAAAGCATTTAAGTCTGTGAAAGCAGGGAGAATGATTTTATGCATTAGTCGAAAAGATTCGATTCATAGAGCATCGTAATTTATTAATTTACTTCTTTTCTAAACAATGAATTAGTTGAATTATTTTTTTATTCGTACCTGATTATGCTATGTATCACTATTAGTTATTTAAATCGTTTTCTATGATGATCAAGACCAATTTCTTGCAATATATATTACTTTTATAAATGTTACATATCTCCAACGAGAAATAGGCTTTACTTTTATAAACTCAAAGTATGAAGTAAGCTTATCTTAAATATTTTTTACTTTTGTGATGATGTAAAAATATGTTGTAAAAAACATAATGAAATAAAGAAAACACTCTAATAAATTGATTTATTTTATTTTAAACCTTTTGCGAAAAAGATAATTAAAGAAAAAAAAATCAGCGGAGAGAATTTCGTTGTAAATGTCGATTAATATTTCATCTTATTTGTCATAGTTTTCAATATTTATTTCACAACTTTGGTCAGGATCTAAAAGATTCTAACAATTTTAGATGATTATTTTTATGAGCTATAATAATAAAATTTACTTTTGCATATAAAAAGTTGTTTGAATGGTGCTTTTTTATTTATTAATCCTAGAATGGTTACCTTAAAAGCGACGCCGCACCAAATTTGTTTTTTTAATACAACTTACCCGAGTAAAAAAGATTTTATATAATTAGATACAATTATGTATAAATTATATATAATTATATAAAAAAAATGGCCCGATAAAATTGGATAGAAATGGTATATAATTGTATTAAATTATATAGAATTATATATAATTATTCCCATATAAATAAAAATATCTGGCGTGGGCAGGGATAGAACCTGGGACCTGACGCTTTTGGAAGACTGATTCACTACTTTTTTTTTTTTTTTTAAAGAAGTTTATTTGCATATGAAAAAATACATTTTTGTTTTATAATAAGCTGCAAACTAAAAACTTAAAAACTAGCTTTACTACATTATACACTTTGGTTTTAACTTAGTTACTAGTCTCCTTGATTGGAGCAGCTAAAACTAATTCATATTTCTAGAAAAAATAATTCTAATTGTTTTTATTTTATTGTTTTTAGAATTTAATAGTTCTAAGTTATTGGCAATTAATAAGCCTCCTGGATGCTAATTTTTATTATAATAATTAATGGAAAACTTTTCTTATAAAAACCATTTACTGATTCACTACCCGGGAAAAAATCTGCATGTATGACCATGCTTAACCGAGCATGAATCAAGCATAATCATGCATAAGCATGCATGAATCATGAATGATCTTGCCTGGTCAAGCATGATTCATGCAAGGTCATACTCAATCATACATTTAAATACTGGGTGATCATAAACAATCCTGCGTGACCTTGCATGATCCATATACAGTCATGCTCGAGAATGCACGATTGTATACAATCAAACTGAAAGGTCGTGCATGAGCTTGCATAATAAAGCATGTGCATGTAAGAAACTACATATTCATGCTTGACCAAGTCTAATCATGCACGATAACTTCCAACGCAGCTAAAACTATCATGCATGACCATGCATGGTCTTGAATAAACATGTACAATTATTCTTCGCCAAGCTTAACCATACATGACCACCTGTGAGTGGCCAGAATGATCAAGCACGAGCCTGCTTGACCGGGCGTGACTTTGTATGATCAATCATGATTGGACTCCACCAAGCTGGGCCGTGTACTTTTAGTTTTTACATTGCTTCATGATCATGTAAGGGCTTACATGATTTTCCATATCATACATTAGTCATACATGGACTATCAATATCAATATCAATATTTTTTAAATAAATCTTAAAGTTTCTGATAGGAAAGTGAATTTATCGAAAAATGATATGAGACCTTTTTTGTAGAGCATTTTATTTCCTTTCAAAAACTGTAAGATTTTTTTCAAAAATATTAATATTTCTATGAGTTACAAAATTCTAAAATTGAAAAATGAAATTGTGAAAATAAACCGACGTTCAAGACTTTTATTAAATGTGTCTTATTAAAAAATTGATATAAATAATCATTTTAACAATTTATCTGATAAGTATTTTTTAAAAGTGGAAAAGCATGATCATGACTGCTTAGTTCTGATTATGCTTGGTCATGCATGATCTGTCATGAATATTTCCCGGAAGAAAATGATCAGACCTTACCATGCCTGTTCGAGTATGATCAGGCCTGAAATTAGATTTGATCGTGCCTGTTCATGTCTGAAGCGTTAAATACGCTCAGGCCTGATCATACCTGTCCATGTCTGTTCATGACTGTTCATGTCTGAAGTGTTAAATACGCTCAGGCCTGATCAGACCTGGGTGTATATTATGCTTGAATTAATAAATATGTTTAGGCCTGATAAGACCTGTTTATGCATGATTAGCCTTCTTAAATGTTATTTTCAGTCTGGAGAGAAAATTTTATCGAACTATAGACTGCAGTTCTATTTTGAAAATTAATTTGTTCCGTATGACGTATCAGTTTTTATCCCCTTATAAATTTTAAATGTACAACTTTCATAAAAAATTTCAGCTTAAGCATAAACTTTTTGATTTTCCATGCCAAAACGATGATTTTTAAACAATTATTTATCAAATAATCATTTGAACTGAAGAACTTCTTTCAATGATTTTACTTTCAAGCGCACAAAAAAAATATTTATATAGTTATATAATACAATTTCTCAAATTCTTTTGTAAAATGTTTTATTTGATATACTGATATTTTTTCTTCGCACATAATTCATTTTTCTTCAAAAAAGTTGAGTTCAGTTTTTCTGTCCCAGCAACCATTCACAGTATAAAATTTTGCGTCATTTCGTCAAAAAAATTTAGTGTTAAAAATTTTTATGTTAAATATTTAACACCTTTTTGTGTTGATTCAATAGAATTGACACAAATAAGTGTTAAATTAACACATAATAATGTAAAATTTCAACATACAAATTTTTTAACACCTTATTAAACAAAATGATTTCACAATGTTAAATGCCCATAAGAGATATGATTTGAAATGATTTATATGATTTGACAGGATTAAAAAATTAATCATTTTTAATCATATCAAATCATTTTGTTTAATCATTGCAATGACGCAAAATTTTTACTGTGTTCCATTGAATACGCGAAAAACAAAATTATCTTGTTAAAGTTTAATAGCGTGCAAATACCAAAATATACCAGTTGATATCGATAGGCGATAAGTCCTTTCAAGATGTTTGTTATCAAGCTACGCCTTGGTCCATTGCGGTAGTATCAAATGCTGCTAAATTGTAGAACACACAAACAATTTTAAGTTTCCTATCGATTTTAAATAAAAAAAACTTCAAAATTAAAAGAAGAAAATAAAATTACAATTACGAAATTAAACTTGAAGAAATTTTTTTTTTCTGTATTTAGAACGATATGTTAATGGAGCGAAAAAAATACACAGCCGTCCTAAATAAATTATTATTAAATAATTATTAATAATTATTAAATAATTATTAATAATTAATAAATTAGGTATAGAACTCCGTTAACTATAAGTTATGTATAAAATTTAAATTACTTAAAGTAGTTTGAAAGATGTTCCAAAGTCAAGAGGAGCCGTTGGGTCAGCAGGTAAAGGATGAGTCTAGAGAGCGAGATTTCTACGGTTCGAATCCCCCTCTAGGCACCAATTTTTTTTTTATAGACCTGATTCAGTCAGACATGAACATACCTGTTCACGTCTGATCATACCTGCTCATGCCTGATCAGGCATGGTCATTTTTCCCGCGTTTGCCAAGCATGGAAAAGCATGATCATGACTGATTAGTTCTGATGATGCTTGGTCATGCATGACCATACAAGCTCATGTCTGGCAAATATACATGCATGATCATGTATGACATTAACGCCTGATCGTACATGTTCATGCATGATGATTTTTTCCCGGGTACCTGTTTACCTACTAGAACTTACTTGAAGGATAGAGTGTGTAATAACTATAAGTAATGAAAATCGTACACATGCCCGGGTAAAAAAATTTACATATAATTGAGTATAATTATATATAGAAAATGGCCCGGCATAATTATATATAATCATGTATAATTATATCCAATTATATATAATTATATTCATTTTTTTTTTCAAAAATGGATAAAAAAATTATTTTTATTTTAATTATATTGAAACTAATGCGATTCGGAGTATGACGTAGTAATCAGAAACGATTTTAATTGATGAAAAATTCCGGGCGTCCGCTGGGTTCGAACTCGACTCCTGGTTATCAGTCCTGCACGCTGCTCACTGCGGTCTGAATCACATACTGTACACGGCACAATCTATTGAATTTATTTAAATTCAAACCCAAGAAAGATCATATTTACACATAAATTTTATGAAATTTCTTAAAATCCTATAAAACTTAATAAAAACAGTAGATTTTTAATAGATTGTTTATTTTGACTATTGTAAATTTTTATATTATTTATTTTCTATAGAAAATGAATTGTATTTTTTAATTGAAGAATTGAAAGTTGAACATAATAAAATGATCAGTAATTTAAATATGCAAGCAGTAGTAAAACATATTATACGTTACAGAATCTGAAAATTATTTGTTAATAGAATTGAAAGAAATATAAAGTGTTTTTCAGTTATTAAGAGTAGAAGATTTAGAGATTTTGTATGTAAGAGACCAGATATCTCAAAGAGAATTTGGTAATTTTATTATAAAATTGGATTTAAATCTCTACTAATATTATAAATGTGAATGTAAGTTAGTTTGTTACGCTTTCACGCAAAAAACTACTTGAACGATCATCATGAAACTTTGTACACACATTCTTGGAAGTATTAGAACTAACATAGGATACTTGTTATTAAAGAAAAAAATTTATTTTTTACGAAAGAAAAATTGTTTGTCAAAAACTTTGAATCACATTGATTCAGTTGTATTGGAATGTAATGATCTTTGATATTTACCGAAGGATTTCAACGCGAGCGAAGCAGCGGGTAAATGCTAGTTAAAAATAAAATCATTGTTTATAAAAAAGTAATCTTTGTCATCACTTTTTTCAACTTTAAAGATTTAGTATGATTTTCATTTAATCATACGAAAAATATAAAAAAAAACATTATCTATAATATCATAATTTAATATGATTTGATATAATTATACATAATTGTTTATAATTATACAATAATTACGAAGAACATTCATACATAAATTTTTTGAATTATACATAATTTTATATAATTATATATAATTCTACATAATTATAAGCAATTATACCATAATCAAAATACAATGTAGGATTATGTATAATTATATATAATTTTATATAAATGGTTAATCTCGAGAAAAACATTGCATGAAATTATATAGAATTATACATGATTCTATATACTTTTACATACACTGTAAAAAATCCGGAGTGATTTGGGAGTGAATTTCACTCCCATCACTCGGAGTTCCGGAGTGAAGTAATTAATCACTCCGCGTAGGGAGTGAATTCGGAGTTTTTAGTTACGGAGTGATTTTGGAGTGATTTCGGAGTGGTTTCGTATTTCACTACAAAAAACATCCGTGTTCGGAGTTTTTAAAATAAATAAAATAAGGATAAATTTTCGTTTTACAAAAAAAATCTCAAAATTAATTTACTATAAATGATTTATTATAAATCAACAAATAATAACAAGTAATAATAACAACAACAGTAATAATAATAATAATAATAATAATAATAATAATAATAATAATAATAATAAGCGGTGCTTGCTACGTGGCCTCCAAGCGGCGCATCGCGGGAAACGCAGACCATAACACCAGGTCTGTAGGCGAACGACGTAGCCGATGCAGTGGGCCAACTACCCACTGCATTGAAATACTGAGTTACAACAAGACGTAATCTCAGAAGTGCTCCCCACAACCGGTCCTTTTCGGATGAGGACCATTCATCAGGTGGGAGGAGCACGCCGGACCCGATGAACGTTGACGACCCTGGCGCTTTAAGGACTAATTTTAAGTGGACGGAGGAACTACGAGCCGATCTTTTGGTGTGCTACCAACACAGCGAGCCGGGGGTAAGCGGTTATATGGCCCGGATGCACACTCTTTGCAGTGAAATGCATCCGGAGCTAGCGCATTTACGCCTAAACACCTGCGTAATTACGCCGCTTATCTTCGGCGTAATAGAAAATCGCTTGTACCGGATAGAAGGCAGTCTAATAGACTCTCCTTTCCGGCGCCATTACACCAAGAGCAGCGCCGTTCCTCCTTGGATGACAACAATCCCTTTATAGGACGGCAAATAAGTATATCTAAAAAGATAACTTACTCTCAACAACAGCTTGACACGGTAAATGAAGATGTCCGTGCAAACATCCTAGAAGATTCCACCCTGCTAACTGTGAACCAGGTTGTGTATGGTGCAGCAGTTTCAGCTTTTCCGAGAGAGAGACATCGTCTCTCGATCGAGGCAAGGTTGAAACAGCGCATCTCACAACTTGGACTCAAAATTGACAAATCCCGGAAACAGGTCTCCCGCATTCAGTGTATGATCTTTGGGTTGTTTCAAACTCTATCACACACTGAATGCGGGAGACCCGTTTCCGGGATCTGTCAATTTTGAGTCCAAGTTGTGAGATGCGCTGACTCAACCTTGCCTCGATCGAGAGACGATGTCTCTCTCTCGGAAAAGCCGAAACTGCTGCACCATACACAACCTGGTTCACAGTAAGCAGGGTGGAATCTTCCAGGATGTTTGCACGGACATCTACATTTACCGCGTCAAGCTGTTGTTGAGAGTAAGTTATCTTTTTAGATATACTAACTTGCCGTCCTATAAAGGGATTGTTGTCATCCAAGGAGGAACGGCGCCGCACTTGGTGTAATGGTGCCGGAAAGGAAAGTCTATTAGACTGCCTTCCATCCGGCACAAGCGATCTTCTATTACGCCGAAGACAAGCGGCATAATTACGCAGGTGTTTAAGCGTAAAATGCGCTAGCTCCGGATGCACTTCACTCCAAAGAGTGTGCATCCGGACCATATAACCGCTCACCCCCGGCTCACTACGTTGGTAGCACACCAAAAGATCGACTCGCAGTTCCTCCGTCCACTTAAAATTTATCCTTAAAGCGCCAGGGTCGTCAACGTTCATCGCGTCTGGCGTGCTCCTCCCACCTGATGAATGATCCTCATCCGAAAAGGACCGGTTGTGGGGAGCACTTCTGAGATTACGCCTTGTTGTAACTCAGTATTTCAATGCAGTGGGTAGTTGGCCCACTGCATCCGCTACGTCGTTCGCCTACAGACCTGGTGTTAGGGTCTGGGTTTCCCGCGATGCGCCGCTTGGAGGCCACGTAACAAGCACCGCTTATTATTATTATTATTATTATTAT